GAGCAGAACAGGCAGATCTACTGAAACACACTGCTGAGGGGAGCAGCAGGAGAAACAGAAGAGGTCTGCTGAGCCACATGGGTCAGCTCCCTGGCCTGGGTTCAAACTCATGCCACAGTGGCTGGCTATAGCATGATAGTGCTGAGACCTTAACCCCTACCATACCAGGGAGGCCCTATCAGAAACTTTTCTTGATAGCAAATATGATGACATAACCAAACTGACAGGCATAGGTTTGCACTTGGAACACACTAGGTATTCAAACACTGTTAGACCTACTAAGACTAGCTGACTTTTATTGACTTATTGTGCCAGGTACTATACAAAAAAGTGCTTGACATTTTGTTAATATCCTACCGTATAAGGAAAAGCAACGAGTTTCATTCCTACAGTACACAATAAAGTGATTGTGAATTAACTGTCGGGGCGACTGTCATTGAAAAATGTTCACAGCTCATCTTTGTAAAGAGAAGCTTACTGAATTTCAAACTAGGAGACACAAATAGGCTTTTCTTTTGTACTCACGTATTCATAAAGTTTATTAGTATTTTGCAAATCCATGTAGGCTAATTTGTTTGCAGGCCACGTACTTCACCTATTTTGACAAGCAGAGATTTCATTCTCCATTTATTCTTCCACTGATTTCATTCCCACATCTGCTTCCACTGCAAGCTCTTTTAAGTCTTTAACATTCCCTCATTTATCTCTTGCTTCCTTCCTTCATTCAAAGCCAGGTGTTTTATTTTAAAATCGTGTTCAAAATGGTGCCACGTCATCCGCCAGGGCCAAGAACAGGGGTGCTGTCATATTTTCTCGCCTGCGCGGATCTCCGTCCGGCCCCGCCCTCTTCTCCTCACCTGCTCCCCTGGAAACCGCTGCGAGGCGGCTGTCACCAGCTCAGGCCTCCGGTTCCTCCCCCACGGCGTCGCGCCCCTCCCCCTCTCCTCAGGTCCGCTCGGCCCGCCCCTCCCGGATCCCGGCCGGCGGAGCGCATTTATTTGCATATTTCTACCTTTGTTCCCCGCCTGCGACCAATCAGCGCTCGAGGCGAGGCGGGGAGATTGGGCGGGGCTCCCACTTGAGCTCCCGCTGCGGCGGCCGCAGGTTCTGGAGAGCGGGTCCGAGTAGTAGCCGCGGGCGCGCCGCGCACTGCAGCCCCAGCCCTCGGCCCTCTACCCCTCTCTGTGCGGCTGCCTCGCCTCGGCCAGGCCCCAAACGCAAGGACAAAGAGGCTGTCCCGAAGGCTCTGCTGGAGCCAAATTTACCTGCAGTTGCCGGGAACCAGAAGGCTCCAAAATGGTTTGCGGAGGCTTCGCGTGTTCCAAGAACTGCCTGTGCGCGCTCAACCTACTCTACACGGTGAGTATGCCGAGCCCCCTTTCTCCCTGCCTGGAGGCTTTGCACCTGCTCGGTGCCCCTTGGCTTGCCAGCACAGCAGCACCCTCGCACTTCATCCCGAGGCTGCTTCCCGTCTTCCCACGCTCTTCGCGCCCTCGGCCTAGCCATCAGTCCCGACTGGGGACCTGGCGTCGGCGCTTGTCGCAGTCTCTCCTCGCCCTCATTGTGAAGCGCGGTCTTTCAGGCTCGCTGGTCTTTTCTTTGCCACATTGCACTACCCCGCCCCCTCATCCACCGCCTTGTTTTTCAGTCATTGTAGCAGTCCTACTCACTTTTCCATTCCTTTCTGCTCCTCGCTTCTGGCTTTTGGGCACCAGTAGAGCGGGCTTGGAAGCAGAACAGCCTCGGGTTTGAGGACGGTTTCGTAAAATAGCGTGATTGACAAGGTGGCTTGTGGACTGTGTGTGTCCCATTTGACGCTACGTATTCTTGCCTTTAATTGAGGCTACCGTGAAGGTTCACAGGATATGCGCAGCTTCCTAAGTTTGTTTCCTTCGTACATAAAGGAGCTCTTTTTTTTTGTTGTTAGTGTTGCTTATACTTGATGCTTTTTCCATGTGCACCTCCCTTGATCCGGCCCCTCCCCCACCCCTCCCACCCTCCACTCCTTATCAATATTCGAACTCTGGTAAATAAGTAAGCCTCCACCCAGTCCACCCAAATCGTGTCTTTCTCTGCCTTCTAGCTTGGGCCTTTTATTTTTTAACACCGCGATCTATGTGATTTTCGAAGTATAATTCTGGGCAACCAGAGAATGGGACTGTAGGTTGCTGTTTATTGATTGCTTACCACGTCCCAGGGTTTACATACACCATTGTTTTCGTCTGACAATCATCCCAAGCCAGGAGCATTGTCAACATTTTTATACATAAGGAAACAGGTCAGAAAGGTTTTTTACTAGTTTAGATAGCTCACAGTTGGCGAGTTAGGAGTGGAACCCAGCTTTGGAGGCCAGATCTTACCACAGTCAATTCTACCAGATGGAAGAAACTTCCTCTTCTTTCATCATCCCTCCATCCTAGTCTTGCTGCCTTCTATAAATACACCTGGTGTTTTCTAGCACCCACCCTGAAAACAAACCCAGCCACCCTGCATTAGCAGAGAGCTTGGCCATCTGTGGAAGCTTAGGTTACATTGGTTACATTTAGGTTACCTTAGAATGGAGAAGCCGCCAGTGGTCACCAACAGGAAAGAGACGGGGTCATTTTACCATTGCAGTTCCTTTGCATGTGAGCATGATTGTAAAGCTTTAAGAAAAGATTAATAAAGTATGCTCCCCTGACTAGTTAGTAGGAATTTTAATTGATGGGAAAATTCTACAATAGCTAGTAATAAAGCTCCTTGTAATTGGAGACTCACATCAGGTTTCAGATTAAAATCCACCATTGTCTTACCTAGTGCATGCTTATCAATATTGATTGTTTATTAAATAAATGCTGACCAATTCTCTAAGTATTTTCTTTTATTACAAGAGTGCCCTGCTTATAATATCACTTTCCTCTTTTTGTACCCTGATTTCTGTCCTCCCCTAGTCAATTGTTCACAGATTAAGTGATAACCTTAGAGTGTCTACTTACACATAATAGAATGTCCACTTTGTATAGTATACTTGACTGAGGGCTTATTTACATTAGTGTACTCTATACTTTTTAAAAGGTAAGTTATTTTTAGGTCTAGTTTTATTGCTTCAAAATTTATTATTTTTAAAGATATTTTATGTATATAAGAGCTGGGGTATAGGCTAGAAGTAGTGTGGGGATGGTAAGAGAATTCACGAGAGACACACTAGGGAGCAGAAGAGATAGATCTACTGAACTGCACTGCTGAAGGGAGCAGGGGGTGAAACAGGTGAGGTTTGCTGCACCTGCTTCAAAATTTAGAATTTCTGGTTGTATTTATTGTTCACCAGGAAAGCAAGGAGAAAGGTGATTTTATAGATACATACACTGTTAATTCTCTAAATTATCAACCTTCAAAGTGTATTCTGTTAATCTTAATATCGATACAGTAAAATTTAATTGGACAGTCACAAGAATATAAAAAAAGGTTAACCCTTTTAAAATAACAAAGGATATTTCTTAAAATAGTGTCTAATTTTGGGTCCTTGTTGGTGGCACAGTGGGTTAAAAGCACAGAGCTAAGAAGCCAAAGCCACTTTCGCATGAGTTCGATCCCCACCCCAGAGCTGATTCACTTGGCGCGGCAGACCTCTCCTGACCCTCCTGCACCTCCCCTCAGCAGTGTACTTTTTACATCTGCCTGTTCTGCTCCCTGCTCTGTCTCTGGTGAATCTTCTCACCGCCCCTTCATGTCTGGCCTGTACCACAGCTCTGTATGCATAAATAAATAAATCTTTTTTAAAAAGTATCTAATTTAATACATGTGAGTAGCTTAAATAAATCCAGCAGCTTAAGTTAGAGGTGAATGAAAGGCCTTCAGGAGATAATTGAAAATTTGTCACTGCTATTACTTAAGAGTCTGTATCTTGTCCCTCTCTTACCATTTTAAGATGAGTAATGGGAGGTGATTAGTGCTGAGATTGAGGTTGATGACTTGAGGGACATTTCTTTGTAGGTTCCTGTCATACCTAATCACTGTGTACTGCCTCTAAAGTATATACATAGTTGCTGGATTGGGTTTGAGGTCATTTCTAAAGTGTTAGTAAAATTCAGATTGCAAATGGGAGTGGCAAAGCTAAAGGTCATATTCTGTGTTTTGCTGCTGTGTTGACGCATTTTCTTAAGGAACTTAGGACTCTTCCAGCGCTAGCTGAGTTGTCCACATGTGCGGTAATCTGCTAACAAGCCTGCCATTAGAACAAAATTCAAGATGAGTCCAGGAAGCAGGTTGCAAAAGTAGGTTGGAAGGAATATCCCTTAAACTTGTCATGGACCTTTGATTATTGACAAAGGTGCAGTTGAGTTTTGTTTTGTTTATGGTTCATTTTATTTAATAACATCCCTTATATTGGACAAGTTCAAGTTAGCAGAATGAATATAAACAGTTTTTAGGTACACGAAGAGAGGAAGATGCTATAGTCTCTTCATGCATCTTTGTGGTGTTACAAAAAAGAGAATGACTTTTACAAGAACTCCCTATCTTTAAAGAAATTGTTTCTTCACTCAATAAATATATGTTGAGTACCTACTGTGTGCACGGCACGGTCTTCATTCTGGGAATATAGTAGTGAACCAAACTGAGTTTTATAAAAATAGTCTATTAAGTCTTTTTTTATTTACTACATTTTCTTTTTCTTTTTCTTTTTTGAGATTTATTTATTTATTCATACAGAACTGGGGTACAAGCCAGAGATGCGGAGGGTAGAGCATTCACCAGAGACAGAGCAGGGAGCAGAACAGGCAGATCGACGAAGTACACTGCTGAGGGGAGCAGCAGGCGGGTCAGGAGAGGTCTGCCACGCCATGTGGTCACCTCCCAGGCAGGTGGGAATTGAACTCAGTGCTGTACTTTAACCCGCTGCGCCACAAGGGAGGGCCTATTTACTACATTTTCTATGTATGATTTCAAGAGCTTTCTTCAGTTAGTAAACATGCCTGCCATGTACACTCTACGTTAAGCTGTGAGAAATATAAAAGGCATACACAGACAAATACCTACTCTGTGAAGAGAAGAATCTAGTTGGGGGTTCATGGAATAGGAAAGTGAAATATAGTATGAGGGAAGGACTGAATTTAGATGCCATAACAGATAGTAATGGGGAACCTTAGTGGTTTTTAGTAATTGGGAGGAATGAAGAAAGGCTGATCAAATTGGAGATATGTAGTAATAGTATGGGTCTTTTTGATACTGTTTGAGATATACATGGTATCTACCTTTAGAAGATGGTTTCTTTTTAGTAACTTATTTTAAAATAATTTTAATGGGGTCCACCCTGATGGCACAGTGGGTTAAAGCACAGCACTAAGAAGCTAAAGCCACTTCAACATGAGTTCATTCCCTGGAGGTGACCCATATGGCGCAGCAGACTTCTCATGACCCGCCCGCTGCTACCCTCAGAAGTGTGCTTTGTCAGTCAGCTTGTTCTGCTCCCCACTCTGTCGCTGGTGAATCCTCTCACTGCCCCTGCACCTCTGACCTGTACCCCAGTTCTGTATGTATAAATAAATCATAAAAATTTTTTTTGATGAAAATTTTTTGACAAATAGTGAAAAATACTTTTCAAAAGGTGATTTGCCAAATTTTGGGAAACCATGAAATAAATGTTATATTAAAATATGTAACATTTTGAAGGTTTGTAACACATCTCCTTGTGCTTAAACAGAGAGGAAAATTTTTTAGAATTGTTTGTATATACACCTATATAAATAACTCTAAGACTGTAACAGGGTCCTTCCCAGGTGGTACAACATGTTAAAGCACAGCACCATGAAGCTCAATGCACGCACTTTGGCGCAAGTTCTATCCCAGGCCAGGGAGGTGACCCTACATGGTATAGCAGACCTCTCCTGTCTTGCCCTCTGCTCCCCTCAGCAGTGTACTTCCTCAGTCTGCCTGTTCTGCTCCCTGCTCTTCATGTGATGAATCCTCTCACCACTCCTGCATCTCTGGCCTGTACCCCAGTTCTGTGTGTGGTCATAAATAAAGCTTAAAAAAATAAATCAGAAAAAACATTACAAAAAAAGACTAAGAGAAAATAACTTGTGCTCTTAAAATGAGAAGGGTAATTTCAGAAGTTTGAATTTTCTTTTTCCATATTGTTATTGTTGTAAAAAATTTCCAAGCTCATTTCTGATGATTTTTTTTTCTTTTGTTTTCTCCTATGCCTTTGGTTTCATTAGGAAAACCCCCTTTGTAGCATCACAAATTGATACTGATTTTCAACTATTCTAATATTTACATTTTAATATTTTAGAAATTTGGGTTGTCTTAAAATCATATTGTAAGACATGCCATAATTATCAGACTTAAAAATTTCTATATAATGCCTCCCTGGTGACACA